AGTCAATTCACTATTCTATACCGGATTTACTCCGGTAGAGGAGGTTTGGCTCGTTAGGGCCTCAATCTATTTACTTGGTTGAGGTTAGTCTCGCGCTGGGGACTCAGATTGAGAGGGTCTAGAGACCTTTAGTCGAGACTGCAGACTGTTTAAGAACCTTCCGCAGTATAACTATCATTGAACTTGAACTTGGTGAATTACAACCTGGCTTAACTGCAGTCTAGGGGGAACCATATCTAGGTGACCTCTCTCAACTTTGAACACAACTTTCACTGCTTTTGCTTGCTAGTTGAGTTAGACCTTCACTACACTTGAACCGCTAAATAATAAGATTTTCACGGAGTATTCATCACACCTAGGACCCGGGTTGACATTTAGAACTAAACCTGCTATACTACACATTAGTAGGTGGTTACACTTGGCCACTTTCTAGTGTGACGGTAGAGGCGTTTCAAGTAACTAGGAAACCCTAGGGGTACTTTGGTTGTTGTAACTGTCAGCCTATATAATTGTTTTTTAGAAACCCTAAACTAGGCCGAACGACCGCCTCACCTTTCACTCTCTCGGTCTTATCTCTACAGAAACAAAAACCCTCTATTTTTTTCCTTCCAGAACCGCCACCCTTTCCTTCTTCCTTCTTCTCGCGTTCTCTCTCCCCTAAATCGAGATAGAGAACATGACAGCTCTCTCCTCTATTCGATCTACCTCTCCCTTTCATTATTTCTGGAAACTAGGAGGAGAATGAAGAAGGAAGGAAACCCTAAGGGTACTTTGGTCGTTATAACTGTCGGCCTATATAATTGTTTTTTAGAAACCCTAAACTTGGTTGAACGACCGACTCACCTTTCATTCTCTCGGTCTTATCTCTACAGAAACAAAAACCCTCTATTTTTTTCTTCCAGAACCGCCGCCCTTTCCTTCTTCTTCTCGCATTCTCTCTCCCCTAATCCGAGATAAAGAACATGACAGCTCTCTCCTCTATTCGATCTACCTCTCTCCCTTTCATTATTTCTGGAAACGACGAGGAGAACGAAGAAGGCAGAGCCATCAACGACTGGAGGCATATACCGACGGCGATGACAACGAGGGTGACAATGATGGAAATCGATGGTTCGTTTTTTATAAATATTTTTCTCTTTGCATGTCGATTTGGGGCTTATTTCACTACAAAAAAAAAGAGAGGTTTAGGGACGACGAAAGTTGTCCCCGGAAATAGGCAAAATCGTCCCTATAGTTTTTGGGGACGACCAAGTCGTGCCCTATGTTTCGTCCCTTATACGCTTGTCCTCTATTCTTTTGGGGACGACAAAAATCTAGGTCGTCCCTAATACTAGGGACGACAGTTGTCCCCAATACTCATGAGTTGTCATATTTTTTTTTTTTCTATGAAAGACAACATGTCGTTCCTGTAGATATAACTTCAGCGACAATAAGTCGTCCCCTAAACATTATTTAGAGAGACAAACAATTGTCCTCTATAATCAATTTCATGAATGTGTTGGGCCTATCTAGAGATTATATATCGTCCCCTTTTCTTTTTACAGGGTCGACATTTTGTTCCTATGGGTATCAAATTTGAGTTTAAAAAACTTATCGATGACCCGCTGCAGATCAGGGGCCACCTTCCCTGGTAGTTTCGCCGCTAATGGCCAGCAGAGAACCGCAAAATCGCCCTCCCCCCGGTGCACAGTCCCGAATGGAGATGGGCCCCAGTGCCGTGGTATGGCCATGCAAAAACCACTCCTTATCCCGCCATTTAAAGCGCATAGTCAGACGCTGCCAATCACTAGTGACTGGTCCCAAGCTCTGCAGCCACGGAACCCCCAAAATCACGTCAAAGCCGCGAATAGGGAGAACATACAAGTCCGTTGGAATGGCCAGCCCTTGAATCTCAAGTGGAATGCCACGATAGACTTACTCGCATCGCATAGGCACCCCATTCGCCACCTTGACCACCACTGGCGGCACCGGACTCGCCTCCTGAGCCAATGTCCTGGCGAACTCACTGCCGATGAAGTTGAGGGAGGCACCGCTGTCCACCAAAGCTAGCGCCGCACGGCCGACGATCTGTGCACGGAAGCGGAGCGTCCCAGGAGAGGACCGCCCTGCCACCGAGTGAAGGGAGATCGCCGGAGCCGCCCTGTCTGCCCGGTCTGCTACGATCATCGCGAGCCGCGCTAGCGCGTCAGCCTCGGCTGGCGTGCCCTTGGGCGCCTCCTCTGCGCGACCCGCCCGCGTCGCCGCCGCCCCGCCTATCACCGTCGCCGCTAGTCGCTCCCCCGCACGGCCTCGGTCGGCGCCGCACAACACGGCGGCTCGGACGCCACCACCCAACCTCGCTCCTGCGCCTCTCGGCCGAGCGGGACGTGGGATTGATGGAGCTGCCACGTTAGTTGAGCGCATTCCAGATCAGAGAGCCGTGACGAGCTCATGTTGGCTCTGATACCAGATGATAGAATGATAGATCATTAGAGAAGAGAAAGAGATTAGGGATTGGAATTGAGAAATAAGAGATTAAGGAGAATTGGGGAAGAACAAGAGAGATATAGGATTTAGGATTTTTTATATTCTTATTGCTTAATCTGAAAATGAGTGTTCTGAACCCTTTTGTATGAGTTTCAGACAAATAACACAAATAACCAAAATGCCACTCCTACCATGGCTGAGTCGGCCAACCCACCCCCTCTACTGACCCAGCCCGGGATGTGGGTTCTCATCAGATGGGTGTTTGTGAAGCAGCAGAGATGCTCTTTGCACTTTGAAGATCAAGAGCTAGTGAACTGAAGGTTAGAGGAATGCTTCAGTTCAGGGGAGGATTTGTTGGAGAAGAAGACGAGCTGCAGCAGCCAGAGTAATCCAAATCCGAGAAAGAGAAGAATTAGTTTGGCGCCCAGGTTTAAATGAGGTCCAAATAAAGAAAACGGTGTCGTGTCTTATTAGTCTGTCTGTCTTTCGAATGGTCATTTACACATTCAGTCCTTGAGTCTTGTTATGTGTCGTTTGAGTCCAATTAGCTGTTAGAGTTTGTTATTGAGTATGGAGATCATGCTACTGATTTCCAGGGGTGTTTAGTTAGTGGTTAGAGTGGTGGAAGCCAGGCTTGTTGGCTGAAACTCAAGTACTTAAGCTCTTCTATACTGCTATCAATAAAATTGTTAGATTTGCACTAGTTCTGAGCTTCACAGGAGCATGCATAAATTGAGAAAGCTTGTTGACTGCAGAGGCAATGTCTGATTTTAAATACTGAAGATCCCCAAGAGCTTGCCTATATTGAATACCATCATTAAGCGGGTTGTCATCCTAAAGAGAAAGAGATATCGTGGTGGACAGAGAGATAGGGGCGCGATTAGCATCAAGCATTTAGAACCGAGATAGAATATCGTTAAACTGTATTAGTCGATTTATGACATGTTGTCGGAGCTGGTTTATTCATGAGATCACGTATATTAACAGTTGCCTTAAAGTACAATGTATGGGGAACCTGTACAAACTTCAACTTCAAGAGAGTTGGCTTTAATTTGATGAGGTGTGTAAGAAAGTGATTATCCATACATAAATCCCTCCCAACACCTCGACTTATTGCTAATTGGTTTATGATACTTACGATTTGATTTTTATAGCATAAGCCGAAACCTCTTTCCCAACCATACTCGGACCACTTTGTTGTAACATTTACACAATGTATCTTGATCTCTCTTTTGAATGAAAATTTTTATCTGCCAATTCATAAAGAAATTTATGCAACACGCGGAGCTCAAAAAGTAGTGTAATTTAGGACTCGTGTGTGGCATAAGTATAGACCATAATCGGGCTGTTGTTTTCCATATGCCAAAATCAGACGGTTTTGCTTGAACTAGCTAGAATCAAAGAACAAGAGCTAGAAAACAAACTGAAGAATATAAGAGAGAGAGGAAGAAAGATCATCATTTGTAAATTGTAATGTCTTCTCTTCAAAAGCTTGTAGCCACAGTATTCTCGGCAAACAATTGTCACCTTTTGGGGACTCTTTTGTCTGATCCTTTCCAAAACAAGAATTTAGGTTCACCGCCTCTCCACAACAACTGCCATGCATGCATCCTAGTCTCCACGTATTACTACGATACAGTCATTTCGTGTCTTTCCATCTATATTGTCATCCAAAATGTCCTGTTGGCTTGCTTGGTTGGTAAGATATAGGTTTAAAAGTTTGTTAGACATATGAATGTTGTTTGTTTTTGTTTTTTTTTTTTCATTGAATCGCCAAATTTAAGTGAACATTTTGGATGAAAATATATGAAATAGTTGTTCTGTTATTTCACGTATATGATCTTCTACATATTTTTATTATTATTTAGGAACTTCAACCTCACGTGCCATTTTGTGACAGCGAGGTCTACTAAACTTGGGGTCACCTGCAATCAAATTCAACGTCAACGAGGCTTCGCCACCAGCAGCCTTATACCTTCGGAACACCAACGGGTCTCGCTTGGATTCGAACCTATAATTTGCAACTCTCAAACCTTGACTGTCGCGGCAGATTTACCGTTAGACTACACTATCTTACCTTTAGTGTATATGACCTTCTACATCATCATTACTTTTCGACACAATGATTTTTCGCTCCCACATTCACCAAACTCACACAGATTTCCTCTGAGGTATCGTATTGCTGTTGCTACATATAGATGCAACATGTCTCATTTTACAAAAGAAGTCGCATTTCTCCGTAGCAGACCAAAAACTCCCAATGTCAATGCCTGTCAGCGTCACTGGAAATGAATAACCCAAACTAATGAATAAACGTCCGGCCAAGAAGCCGGTTGCGACGGCCAGAATTGCCGTTGACGCCCTCTTATTCTGGAAGACCTTGATGGGATACTGCCACGTGTCACCCGGTGTCGCCAGCGACCAAGTCCTATGATATTTTGCAGGCCCCATGGCCGATGGCACAACTATATATTAATGCCCTCCACACTTCGCTTAAGAAGAAGAAGAAGAAGAAGAAGAAGAAGAAGAAGAAGAAGAAGAAGATCAGTACTGCAGGGGAAGAAAAACCCCCCTTCTTCAGAATGGTAGACAAACTGAAAATCCGTACATACTTATCTTTTGTTCTAGTTTAGGTTTAAGCATTCAAGTTCTAACCTTTGTGATGCGACGATTGCAGGATGTAACAATGAAGAAACAGAGGATCCTTGGAGGAAACAGAGCTGTGCTTCCTGTGTTTGGTAATTACTTGCTACTCTAACCTTTTTTGGGCAGTTGTTTAATTACTTACAAGTAAATGTTGCAACTCAGAAGTCCGAATTCTATTGTGTTTCCTTAATGTTATGGCAGCCATGGAAGGACTGGACAGCATGGCCTTCGTGGCGAATGCGCTCAGCCTGTTCACCTACTTCTACAGCTTCATGAACTTCGGGCTCACGAAATCGGCCAACACTCTGACCAACTTCATGGGCACCTCCTTCTTGCTCGCCCTCGTCGGAGGCTTCCTCGCCGACACCTACCTGTCCAAATTCATGGCGTGCACGCTCTTCGCCAGCTTTGAACTTTTGGTATACGTCTTTTTGTCAAATTTTAGATTCGATTATGGATCGTATATCATTTACTGACAGCAACATTGAATTTCTATTTCTGCAGGGGTATGCTCTGTTGACAATGCAAGCACATTTCGAAGAGCTCCGGCCCGCACCCTGCAATGGCGGCCAGGTGACCGACCCGACCCGGTGCGAGTCGGCCACGAGCGGGCAGTCCGCCGTGCTCTACATCGGGCTCTACCTCATCGCATTGGGTGCCGGCGGAGTGAGGGCGGCGCTGCCGGCATTGGGAGCCGACCAATTCGACCCCAAGGACCCTGAAGAGGCTCCTAAGCTATCCAACTTCTTCAACTGGTTCTTTTTCAGCCTGACGACCGGAGCCATTGTTGGTGTGACGTTGATCGTGTGGGTCGGAGAGAACAAAGGCTGGGATTTAGCGTTTGGGATCTCTGCTCTGGCTGTCTTGCTCGCCGTCTCTGTACTCATCTTGGGAAAGCGTTTCTATCGCATCACTGCCCCTGCTGGAAGCCCTTTTGTGAGGATTGCCCAGGTACGGAAACCACATCTCATTCTCAATTCTGCAACATTTTGATACGAAACATTAGCTCGATCTGCATTGTACACCAATTGAAAGAAAGGGATGTAGTGCAGCACTGCAGCTTGGTACGGTCACAATTAGAGCGAGAAAGCAAATTAATGACGAAAAACACATTAAAATATGTCGATTCTGTCGGTCCACATGCAGAGAAGAATTACTGCTCAACAAATATCCAAAAAACCTCTGTTTCTTGTTTATCAGGTGCTTGTAGCTGCAATGAGAAACAGGCACCTAGAAACACCGAAGCCAGAGGACGCACTATACGAGAAGGAAGGGATCAATGGAGAAATCCTGAAAAGGACGAACCAATTCAGGTTTCTGGACAAGGCAGCAGTTCCCTCGAGCGCCAACAAGGAGCAAGCATACAATTCAACAGATCCATGGAGACTCTGCACGACGACGCAAGTCGAAGAAACCAAGATCCTGATCCGAATGCTCCCCATCATCCTCAGCACAATCTTCTTGAACACCTGCTTAGCCCAACTCCAGACATTCACAACTCAACAGGGCAACACCATGGACCGAGAACTCGGAGAGTTCAAAGTCCCGGCCTCATCCGTCCCAGTACTCCCACTCCTCTTCATCTTCTTGATGATCCCTCTCTACGATCGGGTTTTCGTCCCCTTCGCCCGTGGCATCACAGGGGTCCCCAGCGGGGTCCGCCACCTCCAGCGCATAGGGGTCGGGCTCGTGCTCTCGGCCGCGTCCATGGCAGTGGCTGCGGTGGTGGAAACCAGGAGGAGAAATTTAGCTATCGAGAACGACATGGTCGACTCGCTGCTTCCACTGCCGTACAGCGTCTTCTGGCTGGGGTTTCAGTACTGCATTTTTGGGGCCGCGGAGTTTCTGACAGTTGTTGGGTTGATGGAGTTCTTCTACTCGGAGAGCTCCGCTGGGATGAAGGCCCTGGCGACAGGGATCTCGATGTGCTCGAGCTCATTCGGGTATTTCTTGAGCTCGGTGGTGGTGGAAGTTGTGAACAGGCTTAGTGGTGGGTGGTTGGAGAGTAATAACTTGAACAGGGTGAAGCTGCACTACTTTTACTGGCTGTTGGCCGGATTGAGTGTTGTCAATTTGGGGGTTTATTTGGTGTGTGCTTCATGGTATAAGTATAAGGAGGTTGAGGACCAGGAAGAGGTGGAAATGGTGGTTGCTTGAATGTTGTTATTCTTTTTCTTGGGGTACAAGAAATCCCCTCTGTTTTCTCCTTTCCTGTACTTGTTTATTGTCACAGTAGAGATATACAATTCATCACCTGTAATTCAAAGTTAAAAACATTCATCCAAAATAGTACACTTTACCATCTATGTACCTATGTATTCTTCAGGATATACCCATTCCGACAATCCACCACAATCCAAAATGACGCCTAAGATCAAGAGGTAAATTGCAGTTTCTGGGAGATTAACTATCTACAGATGCAACAGGTGAAATGAGTAGTTACAGAAGCTAACGCATACACGTGACATGGCACATTTGACAGCATTGCTTTCATAGACCATATGTATGACAACGATATATGATATATGAGGGATGTTCAGTTAACCTATTTACAAGTAATGCATACTACCATTTCACATCCAGCGTCAAAGCCTCGGGAGGGACAAGAATAGAAGGGAACTTCGTGAATGAAAGATTCGACATTAAATTGCTCCATGAAACAGTGTCCACAGAAACGAAAGGTCTAACCTTCTTCACCATAATCGGCTTCAGCTTCTCGTCTTCGATCCTCGCAGTTACCTCGAACCAAAGTCGTTCAACCAAAGGTCTAGTCCTCCACTCTACTTGACGAGTCTTGTTCTTTTCAGGAGTCTTTCCCAGCTCCAACTGAAACCGGATAATGGATGATGCTTTAACAGTTGCTCTCATGAATCCCCACAGCCTGTCGTTCTGCACTCTATCGCCGAGATACATGCTGAATACGTTTTCCAGCTTTGCTATTCTCGAGGCTAGAGGCTGAAAGGGGTGTGCCTTTTTCGTTCTCGTGTGAGCATTCCAACTGTAGCACTTATCTGGTAGTAACTCAATCATGCTCTTGGACATGAAAACTGTGTTGATGATGTCTTCAGAGTTCCTGGTCTTGTAGGCTCTCAGTGATGCAGACCCAATAACGCGTATGGGGACCAATGGTGTGCATAAGGAATAGAAGAAGTCGCGAAAGCTATTCCTTTCCTTGCTTCTTTTAATGAAGCTCTCATTTCCTCCAAAAACGAAATCAAGTCCATGGAAAAGAGAGACCTCTTGTGCTCCTGTGACTTCTACAGTCATTCCCTCGCCAACAACTACATGTTTGAGATCGCTGTATGAAGTGTTCATCTGCAGAAGATCAAAATCTGTCAGCTCGTTAGCACCAAGCTGACAAGAAAAAATTCCATAAGATACACGGAAAGTATCAGCCATAGAGAAGGAAGAGATCAAGAAATGACAATGGGGTAATTCGGTAAACAGGGAATGTTCTATGTCTGCATCCACAACTGCAATCTCTATAAACTGAAAACTGAAAATCTACTATGCAAACCATGTACGTCAGTTCTCATGTATTTCCAGAATGCATGATATTGCATATCTCAGAAATCTTTGGCTTGTCCAAAAGATTTCAACAGTACATCCAATATGTCTGCATCCACAACTGCAATCTCTATAAACTGAAAACTGTATTGTTTCTAATATGACAACCTTATAATATCATCTACAAGACATTCGATTTCTTAACAAATCACATGCATTCCGCAACCTCCACGCAAATTGCATCTAAGTTCCACCTAACAGAGTAGTCTACAATCCAACAGTGCTAGAATTTCTAATTTCCATGTAAAGTTCTAATTCACTGTCCATGGTTACTTCAGTTCACTTACTACAGCTAGTATGATGAAGACAAACGAGGCAAAAAGATCTTCTAATCAGAATCCTAAGTTGCCTACAAGGTATCACGGTTCTTTCAGCAAGCTTCATGTGCCGACCACAAAAGGGGCCAAATTGGTGGAAGATCTGCTTTACCGGCAATGACAGGGAGAGATGCCCGGCGCCGGCGGCGACTGACAAAACAAAGGGACCCTCGAGCTTCAAAGTGCGCAGCAGGGGAACTGAGCCAAATTCCTTAACCAAACCCATCAAACCGTCATCACCGCCACCCGCTGTTCGTCTATCGAACTTACTAGCACTCCAAGAATCCACTTCGTCGTCAGGGAACTTGAAAAGCAAGTAACTTTTCCCCAATCGGATCCGGAACTCGTACCTTCGAGATGTACCCAGTCGAAATTTGCTAGTTACTAATTCGGAAACATGAATTCCCTCCCAATCCCAGCTCAGCTTCTTGGCTATGTCCTCCACTACGTCCTGCAGTGGTTCCGAATCTCAATTTCAGGTATAAAAATCGGATCCGGGGGAAAAAAAGGAAACCTCGTGGAGGGATTTTGACGAGTACCTGAAGGATGTGGGTGGTATTGCTCGTGAGAGTAAAGGCGAGAGCGGAATGAAGGCAGAGAAACCAGACGAGAGAAATGGAGAAACGGCAGGGACTCATCGATTCGTCGACGGTGAACCTTGGGTTGTATCGGTGGTTGGAAGCGGCCGGGAGACTGGGATCTGAAATCGATTAGTTTCTGTAGCCTTTGAGGGCGATTGGTGTTGTCATTTTGAGTTTTTTTACAGGCGGTGATAACGAACCACGATGGGGATGGTTCTCCGATGAATCCAACATTTACCAAGTGCTTTTTGTCATAATTTGTACAATGGAAGATACAGTTGTTGGCAAATCCCAATACCGCACTTCTATAATAATCCTAACACTAATACAGAAATTACCTAACTTCTACGACTCCAATAAGAAGAATATAACTCTGTCTAATTACATAACAATACTCGTAGTATAACACAATACTACTCGTACTACACATACTCTAATAACAGTTGTTAGGTCCAGTCCGTACAGGCAACGAAAGAGAGTTGGTGGTTGCAATGATGTATGAGTGTTTAAACATGGATTAAAGATGTTGGATTATGAAATATACCACACTAGTAAGGAAGCCCGCGCTCCGCGGCGGGATTATGAGGATGTTGCATTCGAACAATGTCAGGCCAAATATGCAGTCGGCGGAGGAATGCACTGCACTGCACACGGGGAATAAATCAGCCGAGTACAATACTAACGTGCATTCGCTAGTGCATTGTTCAAGAGCTGACCTAAATGGAAGACATAAAAGTACCTGAAAACTCAATAAGTATCTGTTCTCCTAAGTCAAAATATAACTACTACATCGCAATAAGCATTAGACGGGAACACATGACGTACTAACGCGGTTTATGTTGAAAACGAAAATACAGCAGGAGCCGGGAATTATTTGTTTTACTACCCAAAAGATGAAATGCATAAAACATTGGAATTCATGTCTTTTAGTTCTGCGTTCCCTTGATTCTTCCTCAGTCAACCAAGTGATTCATTCCTTAGTCTTAATAGCTGAAATAATAACAGAAGAAGAGGAAGTTAATTATTAAATGTAAAGACTTAGTTGTATTAAGAAACAACAATATTCCCCTGCCGCTGAAATTAAAAAGAGAAAGAATATTACCTTCTTCGATTGCAAGATGAGAACATTGTTTACCATTCTAGCTTAAGATCCAGTAATGGTTGAAATGCTTTTGAATGCCAAATTGCAAACATGCGAATTTGTGGTTCATCTGAATATTCTGCTCCAATGATGTATACTTTTGCCATGAATTTGATGTTGCAGCATTCTTTAAGTAACTGAATTCGTTGGTCATATGGCATTGTTTGGAACTCGAGCGGTGGCATATGAATCAGAGCAAGAGCAGGTTCATGATTCATAACGACTTTTGCTTTGTGATTTCTTGATTCACATTCAGCCTGCAGTTCATAGTATAATCTGAACACATACGAAGATTAGATGCATGTAAACAATGTATAACAATTTAATAATAAGGAATAGAAAAGCAAAGGTAGTTCGAAAATACTCAGTGTCTCCAGGAGAAGTTTTACAGGTTTCAGAATCAAGGTCGAACTTGACTATCTTCAATTTGCATCGATATAGTATCTGTCATATAGTTTGATTCAGCAAGAACACAAAAAATTAGCATCAGGGCGTATTTTAAACCTCTGCTACCATTAGAAGACAATTGTAAACTTATTTATAGTCACAAAATATACTTTCTTGACAAATGTATAGTAGAATGTAAGAGGTAATGATAGTTACCTCAGTTTTTTATTCTCCTAAAGGGAGCTTGTTCTTCAATTCTAATAATGAGATTCTGGGAGGAATTTTGCGCCGAAGGTATCCAAGACGTTTTTTTTTGAGTTGTAGTCAATGATATCCACGGGCAGTCTGTTATGAAAGCACCTAGAATGTTTTGTTCGTTAAATTAGAAAACTGCTAGAAATAGAGTATGCAAAAGATATACAAAATAAACATATAAATGTAGCAGTGTGCCTGTTCATAATTCGTTGCGTCATTTCATTGTACGGATGTACAATTAGACGACTTCCGGGAGATGTTACGATACAGAACGACGGAATATGGGTAAAAATTCGTGCACGTTTCGGGTAAGTGTTGTTTCTATCACAGTCAGAGGATAATGAACTTCTTTGGCATCAGCACTTCGAATGAATTCTTTAATTCTTGTGCCAATTGTTGCGCATGTAGTCTCTGAGGTTCCTACTAACTGCTTTTATGTCGTTCTAAATGCAGTCAAAAGCGCGATTCTAACAAGAAACGGAAAATGGGTAAAATCGTAAAGCGTAGAATCAAAACATAAAAACATAAGTTTATGGTGCATCCTGTTAAATAGCTAAAAATTTGTTAAGTGCGACATATACTATGTAAAATGTGAGTCTACAAATTTTAGATTAGTGAATAAATACTTGCATTTCATGTTTAAAACGTAATTTCTCACATATAAACTAATTAATGTCGATTTTTAAGTAGTGAAAACTCATAACATATCAACAATAAGTTCATAAACGAGTTAAAGAATCCAAATTCTCACAGATTGATTTAAGTTTACATAATAATATAACATAATGACATATGAGTTTAATAATCCACATTCTCGAAATCAAATCGTTATCAATCTTTTATCAGTTTATGTATGCGCTCCTCCCGAAGCTCCCATGTGTTTTTCGATAATTGATTAAAACAGACCAGATCACAAAGCTTGCACCGATCTAATCATCTAAGTCTAACAACTGGAAAGAAATAGCCAATCCAACACAGCTTGCTCCGATCTAACAGCTCAAGAATATATATTTAGGGATGGCAATGGGGCGGGTTTGGGGCGGTTTGGCTAAACCATCCCCATCCCCATCTTCAAATACCCAAACCCATACCCGCCCCATACCCATGCGGGAAATGTTTTGCAAACCCATCCCCATACCCGTGGGTTTCGGGTACCCATGGGTAATACCCGTACCCGTACATCCAACATTATTATACCTAAAACTTACAAGAAAATTTTTAACTATAACTCTAAACCAACCTATTATATAATGAAGTCAACAAACACACGGTTATTTTTTTAATACGGTTCAAAGAATATGATCCTAAAACATTCTTTAATACATAATATAGAGTATAATATTTTCAACTTATTATGTTCTCACTCTGATACATCTACTAAGTAATAAATAAATAACATAATCTTGTTGACAAGGGGGAAAGTGAAAGAGTGAAAGGAGAATTGAGAGAAATGAATTAGATTTTGATTAAGGTGGTCACTCAATTGCATTTCTACTATTTATTTCCTCGAGTTATCCTCATCACCATTGATAGATTACAATTTGATCCACATATTTTTGTATTTGTGAAGAAATCCTCTTTGTGGGGCGGGTATGGGTATGGGGCGAGGGAGGCTAAAACCATACCCGCCCCATACCCATCAAATTTTTTGCGGGTTTTACCCATACGCGGCCATGGGTTTTATTGCCATATATCACAACCCAGTGAAGGAGACAAGTCCATAATAGAAACATAACAGCGGCAGCGGGTACCAGAAGGAGGCGATTCTTCTTCGATTACTTGGCGCCGAGCTGCAACTAGAAGCTGTGGAGGTCGCGCATTGCTGGGTCGGTGGAGGCCACGTTAGAGCTTGCGGTATCAGAGGCCCCGACGTGTTTGCTGGCGACGGCGAAGACTGGTCAATATTTGTGGCTGCCCTACTTCGACCAGCAGTCAATTAGGGATTGGATTTGTGTCCAAGAGATGCTCTACTTATGAGCCCTCTTCCTATCCGTAATTTTTTTATTTATTTTTAAAGTAAAAACGGTGTCATTTTGAAGAAATAGGACAATTTCAAGTCATTGGTTGGAATCGCACAAAAACGTTAAGAAAACGCGTTTTTAAATGTTTCCAACGATTTTGACGTTTCTAACAATGATTTTGAACCATTTTAGAACCAAAACCTTTTTAAGTGTAAACTGAATCGTTTTGGTGACCTAAAAACGTACTATGATTTGATGCGCGATTTTGACTGCACTTGTGCCAATATAGCTCACAATGCCTTTGTTTCCAGTCTAAAGTTGGAAAACGGATTATAAGTACCAATATAGAGTAATCTTGACTTATTATGACATAATAGTAACTAATTCTAAGTGGTACCTCATGTCTTCAAGATGAATCTGGAACATAGATATATCATAATTCACTTTAGTTGGTTCAGTGATATGCGTTGCACAACCTGTGATATTTGAAATATGAATCGTTTTAGTTGTTTGGTTCTATGTGTTACAAATCCCGTGATATTTGGAATATAAGTGTGTTATCATCAGGGGATTAAGTATAAATAATGAGTACCTGAGTAGCAGATTGGAAGACTTGTAGAAGAACCACTATCATTGAAAGGAATTTGAAGAAAAGAGTCATTTGAAAAATGCATAGTGCTGCGATATTCATGCATCTTTTTGAATGAAGTTCCCTCTATGAAATACAATCTCAAATCATTAGGTGCAGTGCGACGTTCAGATCTAGCTGGTATGACAGTTGGGTTCATCATGGTATACAGACAACCAATCTGAATGTCTTTGCAAATATGAGTAGAATCTCCATAGCGTACATTTGCTTCCATAAGTTGTCCCTAAAGGAGTAAAAATGCGAAAAATGTGTTTGTTAAATGTTCTTTGTTTACAATATAAGAAGTAGGTGTGAACCGTTTATAAACATACCTCTTTATCTAACCAAAGCATATGCATTGAGGTAATAGATGCAGTTCCATCTGAATCACATTCTGACCACATGTTTAACAGCCGAGCCATAAGGAAATGGTCGCTTGTTTCAAGACATAATTCACGAAAGGTTGTGGACTGAATCATTACATCTAAAAGCAAAAGGGAAATTGAGTCATTACCTCTAAAAGCATAAGGAAACAGACTTCTTTTCAACTAATCGCGAAGGTACCGTGTGGGTCTTTCGGTAACATTTCCCCTGCTATTGTCGCCCAAAAGAGCAAATCGGGTTCTGATGGCATTTTGGGGTAGGAACAACTTCTTTCTTAAACTGAGGAAAGAGATAAAATTAGTAAAGCAAATGGAAAAGATAATAGCAATAGTAGAATGAATATGTAGTACTTGCCGGTATGTAGTTTCTGTATGGGGCCAGATGTGGGAGATGGGGGACCGTCAGGGCTACAGTGAGTCGTTTTTTTCCTAGGGTTTTCTGATGCGACAAAACCTGTAGCTGAAGGAGAGAAATAG